CAAAGATATTCAGTTTACTGCCAGAGGACAAAGGAAATCATAAAAAAAATATTCACATTTGAGAAGTGAAGAACAGAACAGAGCATTTGGACATTTTTTTCTTAAAAAATTATGATTAATCGGTTATCAAAATAGTTAATGAAATAGTTGTAATAGAAATCAATTCATGAACTAATCATTGCAGCTTTAAACAAAATACTTTAAAAAAAATACATTTAAAAATAAAAGCGAAGGCAGGGGGTGCAGTGTATGTGAACTGTTGTACACAAAGCATGCTTTAAAATTGAATGCATACCAAAGATTGACGGAATAACACCAAAGTATCGTAAGTAAATGGTTAACTGCAGCTTTATCTCTCATGTCACTTTTCTATAGGTAAGGAGACAAATTCTCCGAGCCCACACGTTCTAATTTTGCTCGTGAGATGTGAAAGTGAATGTCTGAGGTTACAAACTACACCATTGTTCTTTTGTATTCCATTACAATGAGCATGGAAAATGTGCGTGTCAACACTATGTTTGTGTGCTTGTAGCAAGTTTTTCTCTCTTAAAAAATGCTCCCCTCTGGAGGAAAAAAAAGAATGTTTTTGGTAGCTTCTGCTTACTGTGAGAAACTGCTCTCAGCACTTGAATAACAAGACTTGACATGTCATAGCTAAAGAAATACAAAACCCTGGTTTCTTGTTTTTCTTCACAGAGTATGACAACCATAGAATACATTCACAGCCAGTTATTATACTGATGCCAGCACCAGGCACTAATGTCTGCTCAGATGTGAGATATTTCTTCTTTTTCCTTTTGTTTCTTGGAACTTTTTAGTCATTTACCACATAAACTGTTTGCAGGGACCACAAATATACCATTAATATCACTCACACACTCCCAAACGATAGTAGCTGTTTTTCCCCCGCCATCCCTCTATGAGCTGCGGGTCTCTCATATTTGTTCGCCATCGATCATAGCGGTGTGGCGCACACGCTGGAAAGCAGCCGGTAGGGAGAGGCAGCATTTGCAATCAAACAGAGAGGAGCAGTGTGAAATCTCAGGAAGAGGCAGCTTCCCCCATGCCCGTGGGCAGGGGATCAGACGATGAGGAAGTCTGCCTCAGACACTCAACACCTCCCACTGGCACCCTGATGCAAGCAGCATGCAAACCCACCCCTTCACATGTATCTGTCAGCCAGGGGGTTAAGCTCTGTGTGTGCCCCCACTCTTTAACTGCACTGTGGAGTGCATGTTATGCTACTGCAGTGGAGGTGCTTTTAGAAGGTTTGCTAAGGTTCACTGTGAGTCGTTGATGTGGTACTGACAGTGGAAAAGTTTTTCTTTTTTCATGATATTGCTTTAAGCAAGCAGATGTGCCGACCCAATATAAAAGGAGAAAGCTACAGGTGCAATCTATCTCCAAGTCTAGAGGAAAAGAAAATTCTCTTGTGTGCAGAGAGTAAGAAATTTCATTGAGTCACTGCTCCTCAGAACCAAATCACAAGCTCTCTAAATCCAGTCAGCCTGTTCCAGCCACTGGCATAATAGTGCTGTGGTTTGCCCATCTGTTCTCCATTGTCCACCTTGGCTCTCCATCCATGACATACAAGACTATAAACTCTAAAGGGTTTGTTCCAGACTGTGAGCAGATTTATTTCAGGTATAGGTACAGGAGAAAACAGGCTTGAGTGGGTGAGAAAATACCAGTTGTCCCACTGTGCCTTTGGCTGCTCCTTCACCTCATGGTTGACTCATTTGCTTCATCCTGTCCACCAAATATTCAAACAATTTCAGCCAAGTGTGGGAGTGTGTTTTGATGTGCAGAGCAGACGTTATTCTGCCACACTGTAAGTGGGTACTACAGCTACAGATGGTTAATAGCCACAGCAAAAGGCAGACACAAAAGCATAATTATTACTATTGATTTTTTTGTAGAGATAGATTTGAGTGTGACATAAAGGTCGGTGCAAGCAAATGTAAAAATGTGTGCGTTCACAACTGATACTGAACGTACATGCTGTCATAACTACATTATAAGCAATTTATTATTAACACATGTTGAAAAACTTTTGTGAGCTGACATGTGTGACTGGAAATTATATGCTCTATAGAATGCTAATGACTACATCTAGCAACAATTACTCTAACATGACAGACTGCAGTTGAATATAGACTTATATTGTCTGTTAAGAACAGACAATATGTCAGAGTTATTTTATAAATAAAACATCTAGCAACAATTACAACATGACAGGCTGCAGTTGAATATAGACTTATATTGTCTGTTAAGAACAGACAATATGTCAGAGCTATTTTATAAATAAAACCATATAAAATTTAGATAAAACACTCACAGACAAGGTAATGGCCTACTAAAATAGCTGGCATTAGAGCATCTATGTTCTCTTTTGATGACGTGTGCTATGTGCTTTGGCACCGTTGGAAGAAAATGGCAGACTTTGGCAAGCTAGACAGAGTATTTAGCTGTCATCTCTGATTTTATGGCCCTTGATGATGAGCACGGTTCAGAATGTGCTTTAATTCCTGTCACCGGTGCAAGGTATGATTGTACATTACATGTTTTCTTTCAGTTGGCATTCCATTACATAAGTCCAAATTATATTTTCTAAAAACACAGTCGACCTAAAGTCAATTACCAACCTGACAGTCAGTGAGGATGTGGCAATCAGTGTTAACCTTTATGTCTTTTATCCCTTCTTTTGTGAGACTGAATGAGTTCAAAGAGAAATTATACATCAAATGGACAAATATGGACCATTTCTGGAATTTTTCTCTGTTCACGTATTTTTCTCTGCCCTCTTGCACGCACACATGTAATGGCAATTTCGGATCCATAAAGAAAGAAACATGCACAATTGTGGCAAGTGTTTTAGAAAACCTCTGTATATATACCTATTCTCCCCTGTACACCGACTCTTTAGATGCGGAGCCCCGGTGAATGCTTACACGAAGCCGCTTGGTGTGGCATAAACCTCCTGGAAGCTGTGGAGAGGTTTTAATCAAGTGTGAAATCCTTTTGGAGTAGATGCCTACACGACTGTGCTTGTGCTTGGAAGCGTACTCCTCAACCCTCTCCCCAACTCTCTTCCCATGAACATCTTTTGTAGCAGGAGTCCATTTCACTGCAGTGATGCATACAGACAACGCTCTTAGCGGAGCCGAGAAAATGAAACTCCAATCATCATGCATGAGGCGGTGCACACTCACACACTTTTCCCTCGGTTGCTCGTCTTTTCTTAGAGGTCTAAATTCAGTGTCTTCTTTACTAATCAGGCATAAAAGTGTAGTTCATTCATTTGAAAAAAATCACTGACATTGTCCTAATAAACAGAGAGAAGAATATGCCACTTAAGCATAATGATATAATCAAGCATGAATAAGGCAGAACGTTACTCAGTTGTAAAGTAAATGTATTGAATAGACTAAACATCCAGTAATTTAGGATTATTGAAACAATGAGATTAACAGCAACAATAGTCCAAGCTATGCATTCTTTAATAAACAATGGGACAATTGTATATGGATTACCCATGAGAAATGAATATTTGGGACATAAATAAGGAAAATGAGACCAAATACATTCCACGATTTTCTTTATTATGCAGTTTAAAGTCTTAAGTCATGCTTTGCCATCACATACACTGTCTCCCTTTGGCTTTGATTGATTGAAGCCTTGGTGGGCCAGATGCAGTTTTTCCGGCCTCAGCGGTCTGACATTTTGTGGGATAATTATCTTGCCACTGGTCATGAGTACAATACTGATGGTACGTCTCATAGGCTTACTGTCAAGCTGGCATTTTCTCTTTTAGCTGTGAACTCTCACTGCTGCCTCTAATACGTCATCTCTTGCAGTTGCATCATACTGATGCATCAACATTGTTCTACTCCTTCTACTGAGCTTTCTGCTTTTTCTACAAATACACTTACTCTCTTTCACACACTGTCCCGTAGCCGCAAAACGAGTCGTCAGAATTGTTCTTTCATGGCGTGGACAGCATTGAGGCCTCACACTTATGCGTTTATCACACCAATCAGAAAGTTTACATGTGGGTGACGTCAAAGACTCACAGATCTTAGTCGTCTGCTCCTCTCTTCACAGACATTGATTTGGCCGTCTAGTCCAAGTCTGTAGGGATAACAACGATAAATTGAGTGGTATTTCCATTAAATCTGGGCTGTATGTTTAGCTTGTCAACAGGTGGGCTGCTTAACAAGTCTGTTGGCTGCCAGCTGCACATTTCTGGTAAACGAATGCATGGCTTATGGGATGCAGCGTTACTTTCAGAAATCGTGTGAGACTCTTGAGTGGTAGCTGAAGCAAACTTATTTTGGAGCTTTCACAGCTTGTACATTAAAATGAGGTCAGTGGGTCATGGACCCATTTATTTAATTAGGAACAGTTGAATAGAAAATGGATGATAATCAAGGGCAGGGAACTCATTTCAGCACTGTCAATCAATAGCTCATTCAACAATGGTTTTGCCCAAAGGGATCCAGCCTTTCCATATGTAACCAAACACTGTATGTCTACAGTATATGTGTCTGTAGTATTATATCCATTCCTGCAGTCCTTTTTTATGTTGGCACGTATTTGCCCCACCACATACATCATACAAATCACATGTAATAGAAATCAATAAATTTCATGCCGTTTCATGTTTTAACAATACAGTGATATATTACAAACTGCTGTTAGATACTTCTAAATGACATAGACACAGCACGCCATCTCCTGAATGTATCACATCAGCTAGTGGACTACACACACAGTAGTGCTCATTACATAGTGCATAGCAACAGCTACATAGCAACTGCTGCTGACTGCTTAGCAACAGCTGCAAAGACATCAAGGAGGGGGGTGGGTTTCATGGGGTGTTTCAGATGACACCATTTCTGTTCACAAATGCCTTTTACGACTTTTTTTTTTTAATGTTGTTCAGATGTTTATTACTGTGAAGCTTTCTGATGGTTCCGTTTTCTCTCTCCTGCCCACAGATATCCGCTCCCTCCCCGATGTGGCAATGACCGGAAACTGTACAACCGAGTGCAGCGAATTGGGCCACTCAGACGCCTGCTGGATGCCCGGGCATCCCTCCCCTGTACGCAAGACCAGGAACCCCCCGAAACTCTCCACCTTCGTGCCTTACCAGGAGAGGGGGAGCCTGGGACGCCTGGCAAATGGGAGCGCCAGGCTGGGTGGCGAGGAGCACCGGTCGCGCCTTCCGCCCTCTCGCAGTGCCTATTCCAACAGTGGTCATGACGTCAGTCAGGACTGCCCCTTAGAGGAGATGCCCCTGAGCGTAGCCTCTGAGTTCCCACCCACCTCCCCTTCTGCCCACACTCCAAAAAGAGAAATTTACCTGTGAGGAATATCATCATCCGATTGGTGCACAAGTGAAGGAAACATACACCCACTTCAGAAGGAGAAACAGGCTGTCCACACGCTAAAGCCAATGCCCGTTTTGTAGTTAACAGTAGGCTGTGACTCATTCAATCACTGGCATGAACACTTGTTTTTTCTCATTTCCTCCTTAAATTATTAATTTATTAGCATATTTATTAAGAATTCCACAAAGTTAATTGATGCACTCACTCATTTATTTATACAAAATCTTGAAGGATACAATTCAAACTGATCAAAAGGAAATACAGATGGTAATTGCTACTTTAGTGGTAACTAATTATTGTTGTAGTTAGCCAAGTCCCATTCTGTGAAGTGATCTCTTGAATTTAAAAATTGTGATCAGTGCTCTTGTGCCATTATTAGACTATAATTTAATAGACAGCCAGTCAGGCCCTATCAGAAGGCATAACACTTTTGACTAACCATCAAATGAAATGCTCTATCTTAATGTACAGTGCTGTAAATACATTTGAATGGTGTGTTCTACATATATTTTTGTCTGGCATAAGATGAAAAAAAAAATTGCCTCAGAATCTTAGCATATTTAAGCTTTTTTTTTGCTGCTGCTGTTTAGACTTGATTGAAACCATCTCCAGAAGTGGAGCTCGATATTGTGGTAGGCATTTATCCGCTCCACACAATCACACACACCTTCGACCCCTAATCATAGTAGAATGGCCTTTACCTCTGCTCCCTGTAGAGCTCTGCCACTGGTGGAGAAAGCTGCGTGGCAACATTTCAACTGACATTATGTTCCACTGACTCTCAGCACTGTGACCTATCGTTCATCATGAAAACGGTTGACTTGGCCACAGTACCCCCGGAGTCGCAATGACCAAACGCAGAGCACTCACTAGACACATTCTGATTGGCTTTTTATATCAAACCTTGTGACTCACTCTTGATGATGAAATTGTACCAGTGTATCAGATTAAAGAGCTCTTCTCTATCGTGACAATCAGACGAGCTCTGTGTGTAACTCACAATCCTTTCCCCTAAAGCTCATAGTCCTTTCCCCTCACGATCCATGAGAACTTTTGTCGATCTAATGAACGGAATTATTTACACAAAATGGCACTTGAGTATGGAGAGCCACTGGAGAGACTTATGGAAGTTGATATTCATGCTGATGTAATCTATATGAGAGCTCCACGTTGAGAGTACTTTCTTTGTTTTTTAAATATACTTCTTCAGAGGTGAATTCAATACACAGTGCACCCACTGAAATAAAAAAATCTCAAATTGTCAGTAACATCAGAGATTTCAAAATAAATATTTGATTTCATGTCAGAAATTAATGTATGCAATTGCATATATTATATATTGTTGAGCTTAAACATGTTAAGGTAGTAGCACCCAGTCTCAGTTTACTGCTACTCCTGTTAATTATGATTTTCCTTGTATTGAGGACAACATGCTTAATAAATTATTAGGCATTTTCCTTCCTCTGGCTATTGAACAGAGAATAAAAAATAGGGCATTTTAGGGTCATTTATCTTTACAAAGATTTTCCAAGTGAATCTGAAGGATATGTCTGAAGGACACTATGTATTAGTCTGTAATTGGATGTTAATGATGACAACACTAGCCTGCCTTACAACATCACAGAGCAAGCCGGTGTCTTTGATTTAAACATTGATTTGATTAGATTTGTAGATACCTTTCACCTCTGCAGAGTATTTCCATAGTGAGATTGTGTCTCTGAGTAAGGGTGGAAGAGCCTAGAATGGACGTTTCCTAATTAGGGTGAGTAATGAGTCCTGAGCTAGGGCATGTGTGAGCACACCCCCAGGACAAGGCACCCACCAGATAATGCAAATCCACCCGCAGAGCTACAATCAGTTAAAAGGGGTATTTTTATCAGCACTTACCTCATCATGCTGCCATTGAAAACTGCGTTAAGAATAATTAAACTGGAAACATATGGAAATTACTGGACATGGCCATGATTAAATAAGGTGGGCGATTATCCTGCCTTGAGGGGGAGAAAGCACATTATGCCGTTTTCAAAGCCATTTAGCGACTGAAATAAAATTCAAACAACAGCCATGATACACTGTGATTAAACCCCCACGGCTCCCCCAAGCACCCCTCTCAGAGCTGTGGATAGCCGCTTCACGAACTCAAAGCAGCGGGTAAGATCACTGACCTGGAATTAATGACAAGTGAGAAAGATAGCAACGAGTGATAAAAACCAGTGTCACATAGCCTCAATCACAACTTTATCTATTTAAATGCTTTGACTCAATTCAGTTTCATGACTGCTTTGCATCAAAATTTATCATTGGGGTTAAATCTTAACCTGATTCCAGCCTGAGTGTGCTTTAGTGAATCTGGAATGTATCTTCAGATCTATCTCTTTGATCACCAATACATGAAATAAATGGGGTACCTCCGAATGGAATGACAGGAGCTCCTCTGCAAAATAGAAACAAACCTGGGCCTACCCCCCCCCATCTGTTAATGAGTCGGACTCCAGCCGATAATGACCTCCTGCTACTCACCCCTGGAACAATATATCACCAGGTTTGACCTTTCTTTTGAACTCATGCTGAATGAACTGTGTTTACTTCTCTCTCAAACACAGAATGGTTCTCCTTGATCAAAGTGGGAGGACATCATGAAGCACCTAAATACACTCAAAAGTATGTTGAATAATGTTTAATTTGTACTTAACATTGATTTAATGTTGGATTCACTTGAGTATCTTTTGCCTCTCTGTAGTGTGTATTGTATGGTGATCATTTCTGTGGACAGATGGACAAATTAACGTACTGAAATTGGCAAAAGGATTTCTTTTTCTTCAAAGACTCTTAGCAAACTGGTTGTGTGAAAAAATAAGGAAATCAGTTGGTGGTGTAGTGTACATAGATCTCCACAACCCTGAGTCTGCTGTCAAGCGGGCAATGATTTTAGCATGAATTCCAAAGATAATTGGTAGAAACTGTTTACTCTTTTTTCTTTTATTTTACTTACTGAAATGTCAGTGCTGGTTCATATTCAAAATGCCCTCTCCCAAACGAACTGAAATTACTGAACGTTTCATCTTTTTCACAGTTCATCTACAACAAAGACAATTGCCTTGAAAATGTCTTTGCAAGAGAGAATCTAGTTGTTATCCTAATTGTTGGTATATTTATATAGGATAAAATGCTTGTGATGCCATGTTTTTGTACAGTTTTATGTACATACAAGTAAAGCTTTCTAAAAGTTCTGAGAAAAGCCGATGGCATATAAAAATTGTAACATGTTTTCTTGAGATGTGCACATCTTGCCTTGGTTGGATTGACCTTTGCTGAGTCAGTGTGAATGTGGCCGTTCTATGCCTGCACTGTAGTCATTCACCGGCTCCCACCTCCTGAGGACTTAATCAGTTTTTATGTTTATCGTGAACAGTGGATTGTCTTATCTTACCAGTTTGTTAAACTCCTGTGTTCTGCTTTGTTCTGTTTTCGCATGTTGACAAATTCTCTTGTAATACTGTAAGTCCTCATGAACTTTGTAATAAAATCACTTCAGGGAAAAAATGAATGCTGTCAGTGTTTTCTTTGTTTTCTACTATTATTCATCGCTTTTGAGTGTTAAACAAGGGTTTGGTTGTTACATTATTATAAGAGGTTTTGCAGCCTTGGAGCTACATTGTGTAAAATGTGTCTCACTCTAGCACCCAGGCTCATTAAGGAGAACTAGTATTCTTGTCATGTGGGGACCAGCGTCTCATTTCTAAGTCAGGAAGCCCCAGAATGTTGAGATGGAAGCATTCCAAGGCTTGAAGTAGGAGAGTCCCAGGACCTGTGTTCACTTCTTCAGCTCTAAAAACTAAGCGTAATACACAACATTTCTTTAAAGCATTGATGAGCTGCCCATTGCTACACATTTAGTGCAAGGCTTACAAGACCACTGTCTTGTGATGTTAATTTTGAGATGTCTATGTGCCTTTGCTTAAAGTCTGAGACTAGAATTTTTTTAATGGACAATGAGCCATGGTTGAAAGC